TTAATTAAATTGAGAATATACATGTACCATAATAAATATAAAAAATTACAGTGTAATAACGTAATCCAAATATGAATAATTATATAAGTAATATATGTTTATTTATTTTTAAATTAAATATTAATACTATTGAACAAGAAAATCTAAAGTAAATAAATAAAATGAAAAAAGAGAGAAAAGAAAAGAAGGAAATGCTCGAGGGACAACCAATGTCAACCAAAATTAATCCTTGAGAAACAATCTGAGCCGTCCATCAGATGATTTTGGACAGCGGTTATTATATTCCCCAACAGTAATCCAACCCCCACCCCAAATCCAACGGCCCGAAATCCAGCTTTTGAGGGACACAGACACAACTTAAGAGAGAGAGAAGCGATTTTCCATTTTCGATTTCATCATCGAAAGAAAATTTTCCATATCCCGAAATCTATTCTCCGTTTCTCTCTGTCTTTTGCTGCGAAAGCAAATCCTCTGATTCAATTCGGGTCTCCCTTCAAGATAATTTATTAAGAGCCCCGTTTAGTTTCTCCATCATCCTTTTTAAAGCTCGTTTTGGTACGATTTGCAGAGAAAGAGGAGATTCGAGACGATTCCGTTTTCTTGCTATCCGGGGAGAGAATTTAGGGTTTGAGATTTGGGTTCTCATTTTTATTTATCGGGTCCTGATTTTTTTGGTTTTGGTTTTGGTTTGGTTTGGTTTGGTTTGGTTTTTAATTATGGGGTTAGGAAGTAATAATCATAACGATGACGATGCGCTTGTTGACGATGCTGATGGCGGCGGCGGCGGCGGCGGTGATTGTGGTAATGGAGGTAAGTCGTTTGGCTCCGTATCGTGCTCGATTTGCCTCGAGACCGTCACTGATAATGGGGATCGGTCGTGGGCTAAACTTCAATGCGGTCACCAATTTCATCTGGGTAAGTTAATTTTAGGAACCGCTGCTGGAAGCTGAAATGGATTTTGTTTTCTGGCTGATTTGATTTTTGTTTTTAGTTGATATTATTGAGATCTGGGCTTGGTCTTAATCATTTTGATGTATTGCGTGTCTGCAATTTACGATTTCGGTGGTTTCCCCCCCCCCCCCCCCCCCCTTGGGAGGAAGATAATCGTTTGTGATGAAGATGGGGAAAGCATCGAGATTGAATCTGAACATTATAGGATGCCTTGATAATGACAACTATAAACTATATATATATATATTAGAAGAACTTCTATTTTCTGAGTACAAAGCTTAAAATCCTTTCTGTCTAGAGTAAGCCATTTCAAGGGAAAAGATATTACGTTAATGCTTTTTCAAGTTAGATTCTCCCATTCTAGTCATGTGGGTTAATTGGTTTGGTTTATCATTTTCTGCCTGCTATCTACAATGGCTGATTTGAGATTTGCATTGAATTCTGGAATGTAATTAGTTTCTGAAGATGATCCATGTTGCTATTGGATAAGAGTTACATATGGGAGCCAGAATTTTTCTTAAATGAATTTGGGCATATACCTGTCTGATTTGGCGGGGCAAGTCCTATTCTGAATCCTGATGTTACACAAGACAGCAGCTAAGCAGAGTGCTCCAAGCTTCAAATGGATTGTGTTATTGGTTTCTTGGATCTGTCGAGTTCTGTTATACTAAACGAAGTGAAATAAATGTTTTGGAATTTTTTGGCTTTAACTGTTGACTCATGTGCCTAGGTTACTCAGGAAGCCCACTTTTGAGAAATTTCGTTGGCAATATTCAATTGGCGGTTACTGAACTACTTGAACAAAATCTTTGTTTAGATTCATTTTTCTCCTTTTCGCAACAGCCACATGTACATATACTTTATTTAGGTTTTTCATGTGGCTGACTAGTTTCAGTTTCAAAACAAGTTGAAGACGTGGGTGGGTTCAGAGGTGATTCACGGGACAATGGAGTGACATTAAATCAATGTTTCAAAGAATGATTGATTATTTCAATTTTATTAAATCGTGGAATCGCACTCTGTGAACTTTCTATGTGATCTTTATTATATGGGCTTGCATGCTAGTCTGTACCTGAGTCACAGCTATCAAAATTTCAGTTATTTTATATCCATGGTTTGGTATGCCCTGCCAGCAAGCAGCAACTCCAGGGTAAAGCCTGATGCTACCAATTAGATCCATCGAAGTTTAGATGTTTCTTAGTCATCATAGTGGTTGTTTTTCCTTGATATATTTGTTCCATAGTGATTACTCCAGCTTCAAAATCTGCTTCCTCGTACATATTATTTTCATTTTCTTTGGAGATAAAGCGTTCTTTATCTACATGCTAATCATCTTCAAGAGATTAGAGATCATATGTCATTTAATTATTTGTATTTTGCTTAAAGGGCAGTCCAACTCGGATGTTGTTGGTATTTTGGATCTCTTTGATCTTCTCTCCTCTTGGAGAATGTAAATTCTGTATTTTCGTTTGCTGGGCTGCATACCCTTGTGCTCTTAATAGTCTTTTTTCTATAAGGAAAATGTAGATGCTGATCTACCCCATGAACCTGTACTCATAAGCTACCGGTATTGCTCGTAAACTTACATTTTCAGATTATGATTAATATTTGGGTGTCATCTTCAGATTGCATTGGTTCAGCCTTTAATGTGAAGGGTGCGATGCAGTGCCCTAACTGCCGGAAAATTGAGAAAGGGCAATGGCTTTATGCAAATGGTTATCGGTCATTTCCTGAGTTTAGCATGGATGATTGGACTCATGATGAGGATCTTTATGATCTTGGCTCTTCAGAAATGGTAAGGAAACATACTATCTATGAAAATCTTTATGGTCTAGGCTATTCTGAAATAGTAACAAAACAAAATTTGTGTGAAAATCTTATCTCATGCTGTTTGAAATGGTAGAATTTTAAATTATAGTGACACCTTGCCCATTTTACCCGTTTTAGGCCATATTATACAAGCTCCTAATTGATTCAAAAACAATGTTTAGCTGATGAAAATCTAATTTATCTCCTCTATTGTCATTGGTTTTTCATGCAGCATGCCCATTCATGGTAGATAGAAAGCAGATAAACTTAATTTTTGATAACAACAGTGAGGGTAGTATAACTGATTTTATAGCCCTCCCAGAAAGAAAAAATTAAATAGTGAAAAGGTGCTAAATGAATTCTAGCATCTGTTTTGCTGCAAATCCTTCAAGAATCTTTGTGGTTTTCCTAAGTTCGGTCTGTCAGGCCTGGTGTTTCTAGATTCCAAAATTGCAAACAGAACCATTCATGAAATTTGAGTAAGAGAATCAGATTGAATCAAACATGTGATACTTTTTCTTCCTATTATTTGGTCAAAACCAAAGAATTTTCTTTTGTCTCTTGAAGTACTTTTTCAATCATGGATAAGTCTATTTTCTGTGAACCATAAAAACTTGATTGTTAGGTTACACCAAATGATCCTCTTAAGAGAAATTTAATTCTTCTTCCATGAGGTCTTCAATTTAAGAATTTGCTAGTATCTCTTGTGGCATTAGAGGTATTTTTGGAGTTTTCTTGACTGTTCTGCAATATATTCTTGTGGGTGTGCGGGACAATAGTTGAATGTCTTAATTCTTAGTTTATGCTTCACGTTCTTTATTTTTTCGAATTTGAAAATTGACTTGATACTTTTATCTTTAAATTGCTTTGCAGTCTTTCGGATTTCACTGGTGTCCATTTAGCTTAACGAGGCTTCCTTCATCATTTGAGTAAGCGTGATCCTGATCCTCCACATTAGATCTTTGCATCTGGCTTGTTTTCTCCTTCAATTTCTATGCTGAAATTGGTGGTCACGGAGTTCGTGCTTTGTCTGTTTCAAATATTCGTATGCCTATATGATTGCATGTCAACAAGACATTAATTTCGCACGGTAGTATAAGCAATTGATATTCGTAAACAGGATGGTTAAGAACAAGCAGTAACTACAAATTAAAATAATGATATTGGGGCCATGTTCCTGAAAGTGAAATGGTGGTGGATGTAGTATTAAATACTTGGTTTTGTATAATAGACACTTTTACAGAGCTCTCAGAAAGAGACTCTTCTACTTAATCCTTGATTGCACGTACTTCATTAATAATGGAGGAAGGAGGTATAGAGATATTGCTAATTTCTACTGTATTTGCCAAGGTCTTGTAAGTTCTGAGGGCCACAAATCTTAGACCGGTTTAAGGAAACTTTCTGGAGGATTTTGGTGATTAACAACTTTTAGCTTAAGTGAAAGTAGTTAATAATTTGGTGATTAACAACTTTTCGCAGGTGTCTTTTTATCTTCCAAAAGTCATGTTTAATCTTGCTTTGAAAGAGTCGTAACAGTTGTCATTTAATTTCATAGTGGTTGAAGCAAATAGTTGTAACATCAACTGTGGAGAAATCTTTAGAGTTCGCTAAGCTAATCACCCCTTTCCTTTTCCTTTTTAGTATTTTGATGTATTTTCTTGGTTTTCATTACTGATACGAGTATGATGCACTTAGTTCTGACATTCTTATCTTTCTGTATTTGTAGGGATGGAGAATTTTCATCCAGCACATGTAAGATTATTCTCTAACTGATCATTTCCTTTAGTTTTGGTGGTGAGTGCTGCAACCAAATTAATTAACAGGAATATTGTTGTGTAATCCAGATCATGACCACTTGGTACAACATGCTATCTTTGCCGAACATACAGCCGTATCATCTGCTACTCACCCATGTCCTTATATTGCTTACTTTGGCCCAGTTCATCCCTCTTCTTCAAATTCTAGTGGAAGTATTTCAGATAGTTCCAATTTCAACAACCACTGGACTAGTCCATCGATGCCTGGTGAAATGGCTACTTCCTATGGTTTTCCTGCTGCCATGGATCTCCATTATCATACGTGGGACCACCATTCTCCGTTCTCTTCATCCAGCAGTCGAATGGGAAACACTGAGCAGCTTACAGGTCCACCTGTCCCTCAAAGATCTGCCAGGACCAGCTCTGATGTACCGAGATCAGGATCCTTTGTACATCCCTTCCTTTTTGGTCACAGGTATGCCTTGATAAATCTATTTCTAATTGCTGAATTCTTGGTTGACTGTATTCTTAAATTTGAGATTGGTCAGGATCCTTTGAAGTGGTAAAGATTGCACGTCTGTTTTAGTTTGATCTCTGTATCAGTGGAGATGGTGTACGAGTTGCTGACATTTCTTACACTTGGCAACTTACTTGCCTCAGAGAGATCTTTTAATCATTGTGACATTGACTTAGTTTCCATGTAATAAATGCAGTTCAAGTGCTAGAGCTGGTAGTTCCGCTGCTTCCTCAATGATTCCTCCTTACCCAGGCAGCAATGCCAATGCCCGTGCCCGTGATAGAGTACAAGCTCTCCAGGCATACTATCAACAGCAGCAACCTAGCAATTCTCCAGCTGTTCGCTCACCTATGATTTCTGGTACAAGACGATCAAATAGAGGTATCGCTCAAGTAGGGCCAGTAGCCTCATCGTCTGATCATGCAGGTGCATTTTATTTTGTCCCATCAAGTACATCAAGCCGTAACTTCCAAGAGGCAGAAAATCCTTTACACACTAGGTTCCATGGATGGGAGAGGGAGCACTTGCCATCATTTTCTATAAACCAAGTTGATAGAGATTCAGGTTGGAGTACATTCCCTGGGGGTGGTTCAGATCCTGGCATGAGGTCCAGCAGCTTCCGCCAAAGACATGGATCCGAGAGGATGTCATCGCAAAGTCGGTCATAAACTTCCTTTATGCTTAATTTCAGTGAAGCGAACTTACCAGTAATGTCACTGGAACAAAAGTTATGTATGCTTGAGAAACGATATATAATGCTTGGAGTCTTGTCTACCCTGACAAGACTCAAAAAAAACTGTTGAGTGGCACCGAAGAACGATCATTTTGGTAGCCACATGGCGGTGTGATGGACTTTCGCTTCCCCTTATTTTGCACTTTTGAGGATATAAAATAAGATGCACATGTTGGACAGAAGTTTAATATGAGCATGCATCGTCATACATACATAACATATTACATGGCCATGTCATACAGGATCATCGTGCTAGACTCGGGCTTAAGAATAAATCATAAATCATGAGGAAGAAGCATAAATCATGCATTGGAATTTGTCCAGTTTATGGCTGCATAGAAGCTTGACTGCAAATAAGGTGAATGTTCTACAGAGAGTCCGGTACGGTATATCCCACTGGGTTTATGGACCTCTCTTCTCTACCAACTGAGCCACATATGTAGAAAGATTTTGCAGATCTTCATTTTAGCTATAACGAAGAACTCGGGGTTTTTCTTTAAAGACTCTCACCATCAGCTTTTGAGGGAAGATTTGATCGATAAATGAACGATTGTCTAAGCGCACCCGTTTGTTTTTAACTATAGAGGTGTTTATACACCTGATAATTGAGGAAAGATTCATGGAGTTTTCTTCCTCTACCCTTACATATGGGTGTCTTCCTATTTGTGAGGGAAATGGTACACCACCAATTTGTCGAAGACGAGGACGATGGTTTTAAAGCCAGAGCAAGCGTATCAACTGTTTTTTAAATGAACACCTTTCTCTATATTCTGTCTAAACTTTATTCTGGAAGTAACAGAAGCTGCCTGTCTATAAGTTTACATCTACGGTTTGCATTCTAAATGAGCTTTAAATTTAATTCATTCGTTTGTTACTCAAGAGTCCATTACGGTTTAAAGCAAGCAAGATCCCACGAGAATTATACGAGGCGCCTTTAAATTGGTTTACAGAAAGATTTCTGTTTCCCACATCCACAAACTAAAACCAACAAAGCAAAATGTATTTTCTACATTCACGCATACCCATATACTAAAGCAGGATTAGCAGCTAAGATCAATTCAAGTTTGATACAATGCGGTTCTGTATCAAGTTCCTTTAATAATAATCTGCAGCATGCAAAATACAGTCCGACAAGAGCAGACACGATGCACTCCTAGTTATTTTAAACCCTAATGTCTACAAATATAAAGTTTTACATGACTACAAGACATCCTCAATGATAATTGCGGACTCCGCCCAATTGCTGCCATCAATCAGACCTCACCTGTCCATCATATAACCACAATCAGAACGGTAACAGAAAATTGAAAAGAATCCAAACTACAATCAACGAGGGCAAACAGATCATTAGAACTTGAAAGAGCAGAGGTTATACAGAGGGTGAACGAGATTCAGACAAGCTACGGCTCCTGCTAGCACTGCGTTCCCTGGGACTTTTACTTGCACCTTTGCTGCGCGGCTGCTTGATGGCAAATTCAGCAACATCACAAGTTGATGAATATTAAAAACGCAACGAGATAGTACTTATGGCAAATAGGATGCCTCACTTTTTTTTTTTTCCGAAAATGATGTCAAACACATGTTAAATACAAGAATTTAGTAAAGACTTACAGGTGAAAGTGGAGATTTCGATCTGGAACGAGATCTGCAAAAATTGCCAGAAACAACTGAATTCAATATCCAGCACAATCCTTTATTTTATAACCTTTGATCCAAAAGCCTCAATGCCACTTCGATCTCAGACTAAGCACAATTAAAGAAGTGACTATTATCATCAATAATTAGCAGCAACTGACGAAATGCATCAGATTCAACATCTCAAAATTGTAACCGCACGATAAGGCAGCTGACCTTTCCCCACCAGGTCTTGAGAGCTAATGGACCCAGAAAGAGAAGGCAAATAACCAATAGAGCACCATAAACACAGAAATGAGAATCACATCCTCTCGACCTTTATCACCAAGTCAAAGAATTCTGGACACAAGTTAAAGAGAGGTCGAAGAAGTCCTTATTTTGCCCCTACTGCAAGTATGTGCCTTGTAGTACAACCAAAAGTATCTAGTTCAGGGAAATCCAGCTTTGACAATGTCACCAATCCATCTAGATTGCTCCGATCCATCACACTCATAGGCACACATGCATAACATATTAGCATTGAAATATTTTAAGGTTTTCCACAGGTGCCCACTGACAGAAGTAACATTACCTCCAAAATATATGAGATACAAGCATGACGCATGTGAACACCAAATCCCATCAAGTCCCTAATATCCAATCCCCATGTTGCAGCAAGAGCCAGATCTAGCAAACAAACAGGTTAACCCTCACTGACAAGAGCAACAACATTACCTCCACAATAAATGAGATACAGGTACGTGAGCACCACATCCCATCAAGTTCCTAACATCCAATCCCCAAGTCGCCGCATAGAGCCAGATCTAGCAAGCAAACAAGTTAACCCTCATAAACAAGGTATGATAACGGGCCAACTGACAAACCTTTCCTCAATTAATCCTTCCAGTTTTCAAAACATGAATTTTCTGGGACAGAGTTCATGAGCACCAAAAAGTTTTGAAACACAAAAGGGTATGCTACTTCTTATTTAGGCATATCCCTGCAAAGTTGCATACTTTAAAAACTTTTTTTCAAAACAGCCTATCTTCTCTCTTTTTTTTTTTTTTTCCAAAAAGAAAGTCAGATTGAAAAGTTGTTAAAAAAATGCATTAATCAATTGAAAATCATTTAGTTTGCTTGTCCATTCCGGAATTTTTGAGGCAAAAGGCAATAGGAAAACTGGACTAAAAAATCAGCCTGGGAAAGGATCATAAGGCCAAGAGGGGAAAAAACTTGCTTTAAAAATATCAAATGATAATCCTGCTCTAAGAAATGCATAAATTATGCGGCTCAAGAGCTTGAAAATGAAACGGGAAAAACACTAGACATTAGCTAGTTATTTGAAATTGAAGCCATTTATCAAAAGAGATCATTTGAAGAATTGCATAAATAAACCTCAATCAAGTTATGCACATGGAACTTCTTGGATTTGGCTTGAAAATTACCAAATTAGTAGGTAAAGCCAAATTTGACCTTATTTAACTGTTCTGTCCGCATAAAAACAGCCATCCATATAAAAAAAGCAACTTCATGATGCAACATGATAGTAGTAAAAGTGCTGTTTGAATAAAGTTTCTTAATCAGACACCAAAATACTTTGAAAACCACTGGAATTTCAAATAGTAACCACTGATACAAAAAAAAAAAAAAAAATTAAGGCACATTTCGGTGGCGGACGATAATGCCAAAAAGCCTATAGGGATATATCCCTTAACCTGAGAAAAGAATGACAGGTAAACGTTTTCTCACAAATTCAACATTTACTTGGCAACTACATTAAGAGCAAAAACGGTGTCCAACAAGAATCCCATTTCAAGGAAAAATGGGAGAAAAATAACCACACAACAGGATAGATTTAAGAAACAACTATGAACAGTTTCCATGTAGTCAACATCACAAAGAAAGTAAAACAAGTCCAAGCCTGCTAAACATGGGGACAAAAAATGAGGAAGATAAAGGTCGCAACATAGCAACCCAAACATCACATCAAAAATTAACAAATATAAGATTTTGGAAAAACAGATAAAGTGCTTCTTGTCAGACAATATCAGGTCAGGGAGAAAGCAGCAAAATGAATAGTGGCAAACAGTATCTGGTGACTAACTAGTTATAGCAACCCTTATTTTATGTTAGATGCATCCCATCCATCTCACCACAATGAGCACGGAATCTAAAGGACATCATACCACAAAAAGGCATAATGAGAAAAAAAAAAAGGCATTAAAGAAGAAAGGGGGGAGGTAGAGGAAAATGTAGTACCCATAGAAACTAAAACAATTACTGCCAGGAAAAAATAATAAATTTGAGCTCCCATATGCAACTGAGGCATATAAATCAGACAACGCAAAGTTGCAATGAGTTCATACCTTGACATAGAGCGAGGAGGTGATCCCGAACGAGAATGCGGAGAAAGGGATCTAGGAGGAGAAATAGACCGAGAACGACGAGAAGATTTTGCCCTTGGAGACTTGCTGCATGTTGATTTACATCAGTATATTTTTAGAGCAATCAAAGTCAAACAATTTCAATTTCCTTATAGCAAACACTGAAAAGACCTCTTGCTTCTGCCACTATAGCTGCGGCTGCGACTTCGACTTCTGCTTCTGCTTCTGCTTCTTGAATCATATGGGCTGCGACTAGGGCTCCTCGAGTAGCTAGAATCATACTCTCTCACCTGCAAGGTAATTGTACAAGTAAAATTAATGCGATGGAAAGAATGAAGTCCAAGACTGAACCAAAAAGCAAAGACACATACCCTTATATAAGCCCGAGAAAATGCATTCCGAAACTCAGAGTCATCCAGTTTCCTAATCTATAGAGCCAAAACAGACGAAATCATTTGGCAGATATGCAACTGTTCGCATAAAAACAGTACCAAAACTAAACCCGAGTCTCATCACACAGGCAAAATAACTTACAGCATATTTCATATCATCATGGTTTGTGTAATCTACTATTCCAGTCATGCCTGCAAAGATATTTCCAGATGGAAATAGAGAGTAAGTTGTCAAATAACACCTTTGTTATGCAAAACAGTATATTCAACTTCTGCTTCAAATGAAGACAAGTAATTAGTAACATATTTTACGTGATTCGAATTTATCTGGATATCTATAACCAAAACTTTTGATATCAAAGTTGATCAACTCAATAGCTTAAGCATACAATTGCAGCCACTCAAGCAGCTATTGCATCTTCAATTTATCATAAATTGAAATTAACTCCTATGACCAATCAACTTTGTTGAACAAGTAAAACTGATCATAAAAATCCATAATTAACATGATGGAGAATGAAAAGAAGTTATATGAAAATGATTTTATATTAGGCAACATTGAAATGATAACACTCTTTTTTTAAGGATTTGACCTCAGATAATTTCCTCAGTGATTACAATTAGTGCCTATTGAAAGGCTGCTAGAGAACAGGGAACAGCTCTGAATAGGGAATTATTGCACTAGGGATTCATTCTCTGCATTTTCTTCTCTCTGACCTAATGCTTGATCTGTTCCTTATATTTCTTCCCTTTAGTCCTGAGTTTCTGTTGTATCCTTAGAGAAGTATTCTTTTTTTTTTAATTAACTTTCTTCTATTTTTTCACTACCTTGAAAACTTAGATCAAACCCTTATTACCCTACATCAAAGAGATTGCATGATATGCTGTAACCTAATATATTATATTTGTGAAGAACTTCTCAGCCCTCCAAAGTAGGACAACTTAAGGTTGATCTATCTACCTAGGGATTTGAGAACAAAAAACTACACATCAAACTTAGGTTTCTCAAACATTATATCTAAGAAGTCTTGAGCATCATGGTTAAAGTTTGATTGCATCATATAACCAGAAAAACACCAGAAATTTGAGAAACTATCAAGATATTCTATTGATTAACTGAAGTTTGTCTCAAAAAATAAATTACAAAGATATAAAGCTTTTTAAGTAACATTTCCTTGATAGGATTAAACTACAAAATATAAATACTAGTAGGATTTGGAAATAATATTAGTCATATCAATAAGAAACTAAATAATATAAAGAATAAAATTTCAAAGTTACTAAAATTATAATAATAGACTTCTAAATTTAAAACAGTTTATATTAAAAAGAATTAAAATTTCTAATCTATTAAGGCAACCTAAACTTAGCCCATTTAGCATTATCCTCTCTTCAAGTTGATCCAGAAATAAATTTATCAAAAAACATCCAGTAAAGCAAATAATTGTTTCATCTAGTGTTTAAAATATGATTAATTTACAAGTTTAATAGATTGAAAATATATATATCCTATGTCATGTTGACAAAAATTGAGGACACATGTATATGGTATTAGTTAGTTTTTTATAGTAAATGATACGAAGTATGCTCCAGACAATCTCCCAATATAAGCTTCACTATGCCATGGTTGAAGCAATCATAAGACAAGTATTCTGCTTGACTGAATAGTCCTGGTAACAGTTTCTAATAACACAAACCAAAGAGCATAGGCAAACAACAGCTACACCAAATTGTTCCCACTTACCACCACGATCACGAAACACTTGAGAAAAACAGACATCCCCTGCTTTGCGCATGTGATCCTAATAATTAAGTATGATAAAAAATTATCATATTAAGGACAAAATAGAATTATATGCATATAGCAAATGAGTGCTTTTTCTTTTAAATGCTCACCTTTAGGTCCTGCCAAGAGGCAGATGGGGGTAGCCCAGTCACCAGAACTGCATCATAGAATACCACAAAATCAATATTTGACAAAGAGCATTTTGTTGAACTACCAAACTATGCCTGAAGCAATACATACCCCGATAATCAGAGCGCCTGGAAGGCCCACGACCACTGCTACCACTATAACTGCTGTACCGATCAACAGATGATGACTGTCTTCGCCCTCCATGTGCAAGCTCAACCTAAAGAGAAATAAAACATAAATGAGTACAAAAAAGAACAATATGATCACAATTTTCTAAGCAAAATAGAGACACATATGATGAGCAACTCACTCTTAGTCGATAACCATCAAAATTATAACCATCACGACCACGAATAGCATCTTCTGCATCACGAGCATCATGAAACTGCAATGCATAAAGAGTTTATGGATCAAATTACGGATGTAAAAATTGATAGAGTAATTAAACTTATTCCCTTGATCATTTTTAAGTTCTTTGGAAATAGAGGAATTTTAGAGCTTTCGAGAGTAAAGAGACCGATTTGTATAGTTTGGGAGATAGGTGGATGCATAATTTTGGATTTAGTTTGCTAGGACATGACATGATTAGCAATGTAGATCCTGGGGATGTCATATATTCACTAACTACATTGTAAAGCTTTTGTAAATGAGTAGTACCCCCGTTTGTTGGTACCATGTTAATATATATTCTTGTACTTTCTAATTAAAAAAAAAATGGTATAGTAATAATCCCAACAGGTTCCAATAACAAATTACTCTAAAGGGGGAAGAAAACCTCCCAGATATCATGTAAATCTCTTCACTTTATGAAATATACACTCACCTCAACAAAAGCATAACCTGGGGGCCTTGGTGGGATCTTCAAGTCAACATCAACAATAGGTCCATACTGCAAAGAGGAGAGATATTAGGAAAATATATATATTTTTGAAATAAAAAGTATTAAAAAATGCTATGGCACCAAGGGGGTGGAACTCATGTACAACAGATATTTAGATATCAGTAAGACTATCTATGACATGTCTAATATCCTCCACCCTATACATGTCATGCCCAAAAAAATAGAGCCAAATATATATATATATATGTGGAGAACCAGAAATCACCTAGAAGCAAACTACATGTGAATAGATACTACCACAAACATTAATTTTAGGAACATCTGCTTGCATCCAAAATTTATTCATTCCTCATTTTTTGGACATAATAAGAGAAAAATTTACAAAAGAGGCGCCAAGTAACATCTGACAGGATGGATGACCTCTAAAAAAACTTAATATCTAGAAACTAAATCAATTTATCCTCAATGCTGAGCAAAAATGTTAAAACTTGAAGCATCTCTTTGTGATTAATTATTTCACAATCAACAACTTTTTTCTAGTTAGGAAAGAAGATATCAAAGGCAAAATCAGGAAGCACAGCCAAGACGAGAACCACAGATACAGCCAAAAATAAAGAAACCGCATGCATTAAATAAAATTGTCAGGATGAATTTCCCTTCTACTTCAGCAAGATATTTTCCTCCTTTTTGAAAGTCATCTCGCAATGATAAATTTAAATGAATAATGAATAACATACATGCAAAGAAAGTGTGAATCAAATATCTTAAAGCCAACTAGAAAAACAGTCACAGTGCTTGAGATAGAAATCATGAAAGAGAAAAACTCATTTGTATCGAAATGTAATATAGAAAGAAATTTCCAGAAAAATAAGCAGTGCAAATCAGTTTTAGCATCTCCACCGACATTTCAAAGTTGAGAGTGAGATGCTCCAGTACCCCAAAGTCAACAGCCATCAATAACATATATACTTGACAAACAAGCCTTTTTGTAAATGCTGCATCATCTTTAAACTGAATCTTCTTCCAAAGATGGCTATTTATAATTTCTCAACTAATTGATTAATCCTCTAAATGAAGGTTTTTAAAAAAATTTGAAACAACAAATTTGCTTATCTTCGTTTCTGGCTCATTAATTTCAATAAATTAAAGATTTTACAGCGGAATTGCTTCTTTCATCAGCATAGAATACTACGAAATTAACAAGTCAAAATCACTTGTGAAAAGACACATAAACCTCGAGTACAACTTTTACATGCCACTTTAGAGCTATTCGGAATGAGAAAAAAAAATCAGCAAAATAACGGGGGGAAAAGAGAAAAGCCATTAATTAAACCTTATAAAACAGATCCTCCACTTCTCTCAAACGAATATCCCCAGGCAAATTCCCCACGTACAGAGTGCGGCTCGAGCGACTACTCATCTTCCCTAAAACCATGGAACAAAATTTTATAACAAAAAAGCCCCACTGAACGTTTATAATCGAAGAAAAACAGCAGTAATTATTACCGATTTCAGCAAAAAAAAACATATATATATATAATAAACCACGATACTAAAACAATAAAAATTTAATGGTGAAAGAGAGAATACGAAATATTAGGGTTCACCTTTGCTGCGCGAAAGGAGAAATGAGGCGTGTCAGCGACACAGATTATTCCAGAAGGATGTGGCGTCAAGTTCAAGCGAGGGATTATAGAGGAGGACACATGAGGGAAGGATCACGTGCTTCACGGTGCACAGTAATACCTTACGGCGTATCTTTTTACCGTCACGATGTAATCTGATTTAAAATGGATCACGTGCTTGAAGGTGCACGGTAATAACTTAACAGCGTATCTTTTTACCGCTACGATATAATCTGATTAAAAAACAGCCTGTGTTTCCCATTTTACCCCGCTTTAAACTTCTTTACGAACGCGGCTTTTTAGTAATTTCACCTAACGTGGCTGTTGAAGCAGACAGGTGTCGGCTCCCGTGGAAGAACGACATATTATAATATATATTAAGTTTGCTAAGCCATAATATAAATTTATTTATTTAATTTTGTATTATTTTATATTATGGTATGCTATATTGTATCATTTTGTACCACGTAATTTTATTTATTTAATAGATTATGTCATATTCGGTCAATTTCTCGCCTTTTAATTTTATAACTTACATAAACAATGATTTTGTCTATTTACGTTATTTTAAATGTGTTGTTATTGCACATGGGCACGTGCAAAATATATAATTATACATACATATAATAATATTATAATAGTACAATATGATACTAAATTGAGCCACGTAATTTAACAGCAAATTTTAAAAAAATTAATTGCCAATAATATAACATACTAATATTATATTAATATTAATAAATTTATATATTTTATTATCTTATTTATATTATAATTATAATCTAACTATATATTATAATATAATCACTTTATTCAAAAGACCCTTCGAACACGATGCGCTAAAGAGATCAGCGGCGATTATCATCATGAGCTGGAAGCTTTAGATTCCGCTGCACGAAACTAACGGCAGAGATATGTCCACGTGTCAGGCTTTTGTTGGATCGTCAAATAGTACTTTTTAAACGCGGCATACAAATACGACTCCCTCTCGCCCACTGTTTTTTTGATGGCCGCCAGCAGATTGGCTTTCTCCTCTTTTCTCTCTCTGATATAAAAGGAGACGTGCGACACTACAAACCGAAAAGTCCATATAAATTCTCCATCGTCGAATCTATTGGTTTCCCCTGCAAACGCCGCACATTATCTCACCTTCCAACCTCTTCGATTTCCTTTACAGCAACCAGGTATGATCTCCCCTTCTTATACACCAGAAGAAATCTTTTAGAAGGAAAATTAGGGTTTACTTTGGGCGTAGATTCAAGAACGCTGGCCTGTTTAGTTTGATATCGGATTCATCGTGTCAACTTCAGTCATACACGAATTCTCTCCTCCGTTTTTCGACTGTCTTATTTAGTTGATTGATTACGAGTCTTGGTACTAAGATATATTGGTGAAACTTTCTATCAGATTTTCTCGGTAACCAAACCGGTTTTCTTCGGGAGGGGGAATTCCCAATTTGTTTTCTTTTTTTTTTTTTTTCGTTTTTGAGTCGCTTTAAATGCTACGTGGATCGTGGTGTGTGTGCGCGTGTGTTTGTATTGTTTCGTAGAATCTGTTTGAAGTTTTGTATCCAAACCGTTCGACAAAACGCTTAATAGGAAACAAAGCCTTCTCGTTGTTGTTAGTTTGCTTCCTTGATTGATGAATAATTATGTGAAAATTGTCTGATTCATATTTCATGGGGTGGCAGTTTGTCAGGTTTCCTTCTGTACATTTATGATGGCATGTCTAAAAATCCGCATATTAGTAACTATTTTAGCTTTCCAGTTAGAGGAGTATGTTCTTTAATATGTTATTCTGCCACCTTACAATTCATTGGCATCTTTTTAAGAGCTGCTTCGTCTTGTTGTTAGCACCCGTTAGTAAACATTGGAAACCATATTGACACCATCGTCGTGAGAAATTCAGAATTTACATGTAATTTATTTTCAAATCCACCAATGTGTTAAGTGGAAGAAATATAGATTCTATTAGGAGATACTGAAAATTAAGGTCATTTAGAAATCTCTATGTGCTAAGCCCAAATGAGATTTTTTTTTTTGCATATTTCAAATGAAAATTTTCAGCTTGTTTTGCATATATTTATCTTGCGTAAATCTGTTTCTATTTCGTTCTCAATATCCTAACATCATATGTGTATCATTCAAACCGCTCTAGGCAATTACTAATCTGAGTCGTTAATCTGCCTTGCTTACATATGCCGTTTGAAAGTATTTTGTTGGGAAATTGTGTCACATACATGTTCACAAATTTCTTATGGGTTATGGCTAATGGTTCTAGCAGTTTTCTTATTTGCCAAAGAAAAAAAATGTTGGGGATTTAACTTTTAATCCAAGCTAGGCATTTCTCATAGCACTATAAGATTACAATTAATTTGAATCTTCAACATTACAAACCCAAAGCTGACCTTAGTTCTCTACCATCGAATCTATTTCCAGTTTTCTCTATCTGCAATGGCGGAATCAAAGAGCAAATTTGAGGCTGTAAGGGAATGGGTCTCAGAACACAAGCTTAGAACTGTTGGTAATTTTTCTTTCTTCCTTGACTTCATTTCGTTTTCGTTTTCAGATTTTTTTTATTATGTTAATTGGCCGTGTCTGCATAGGGTGCTTATGGCTTAGCGGTATTGCGGGCTCAATTGCATATAATTGGTCTCAACCCGGCATGAAAACTAGCGTCAGGATCATTCATGCTAGGTATGTTATTTATTCATTTTTTTTCTAGTTCTTTATTTCTTTCACCATTCTCTGCTCTTTGATTTGTTTTATGATCACCGCCTAATGATATTGACGTTATCTTCTTTGGATTTGGCAATTGGGGATTCAATTGATTGAACAAGAAAACATCTTGCGGAAAGAAAAAAGTTTATCATTATTCTATTATATTTTTTATAAGCTCCAGCCAGAGAGTTGTCATGACTTGAGCTGAAAGGGTAGTGGATGGTTAAAGGTTTTCTAAAAAGAAGAAATTTCCTTTGAATTTTTGAAGCACTTTTTGACTTCTCTTTTTGGATTTTTTTTTCCATTGTAAAGGCTGAAGTATTTTTTGTGATCTGTGTCTATATTCTTATTATTGCTTGGTTTTAGTTTTTTAGAAAACAGTCTGCTTTGTAAAATTAGGCAGAGTTGTTGTTTTGACTGATTTCTGTATCAGCATAAGTTGTATGGTTTTAGACACTGCTTAGGTGTTTCTAGGTTTCAAAAATCTAATACTTTTTATAAAGGGAATCCTGAAGCTTTGTGCATGTCTCTTCAATATATTACGAACGGTTGTCATATTTCCTTAGTGGGCTAGGCACATAATCCTTGTCTGGTTATGTTATGATTCAATAATTTTAGCCCTTTTTATTGAGTATCTTCTGTTTTTTCTTTCCTTCTTTTTGAGAGGATACTTATTGGTCATCTTAATGTGTCATGACTTGCATTGTAAATTTATGTAACATTTAAGACTCTTGAACTAAACTTTTGATGATCAAGCTGCATCTTATTTGTCCAAGGGAAATGGTAGTGTATAGTCGCCTTGTTTCTTTTCCCAAATGCTTTCTGATTTTAGGAGTTTCTTTTGTCTTGAAGATTCTAGCCTCCCACGGGTTAATTAGACTTTTCAAGTTTAATCTTCTGGGAAAAAATGGAAACCTGTACTGTACGCCTCTGCTAGGTAGAATGCCAAAGGATATAGTGGTTTTCTCGTTTGATAAGACCTCTTATCAGGTGTATCTTCATGGCTGAGTTGAAAGTACAATGACTAGACATCATCCATATAGATTTAGGGTAAAAACTGATTTTATGTGGGTCTCTGTTTCAGTTGCAAAAGTCCGCAGAATTTGTATATCGACCTCAGACATGAAAAATGTTCTTCAAAGCCTTTCATTGTTTGCTTCTCTTTTACTGTTTTGCAGTAAGCTGGTAATTGTTTGAACTGAAAAGGGTCTTCGTAATTTTTCTCCCTGGATAATTCAAAACCATCTCAGAGTATCATTACAATAACTTGCTCTTGACCTTTGTTTCTCCTCTAGCATTGTCACATTACTGTTTTCATGTCTACAAATTCGCTTCTCAGTGTATGGTAACAGTTCCGCTAATTGTCTCATTTCAGGCTGCATGCCCAAGCCCTTACACTGGCTGCACTTGCCGGTGCCGCAGCCGTCGAATATTTTGAACACAAAACTGTGGGGCAGACTGATCGCTATGCTAAGTTCTTACCAGTTGATACCTACTCACACAAGGACTAAAGCAAATTCTCCCAGTTGTTACCTACTCACATAAAGACTAAGCAAATCTTCGTACAACATACAAGGGAACCAATGGAAGTGAAATAAAAATTTTCTAGCAGGCATCTGTCTGTCTTTCTTTGGCCCTCTTTTTTGGGCGCTATATTATCAATTCATTGTGTTATTTAAAGTCAATACCAGAAATTTACAGGAGAGCATACAATTTTAGTCAGTTCAAACTTACCAATTCATTGTGTTATTTCCTAGCATAAAACGATTTCTGATATCTTATTCAATGAATAATTTGATTCCTAATAAGTAATTATAACTCATATAAGACCATTTTAATTGGAGATTCATATATATATATATAGATATATATAGGTACACCAGTATATCAATGACTTGTAAATAAACTAAATTAAAAATAATAAATTATAACTAATAGTTTCAAAATATAATATTTTTACATACAATAATGAAAAAACAAACTATGGGATAAAGATTTATAAAAATTAAAATAAAAACTATAACTTGCTTAGACTATAAGTGCAGCCTGAAATTGATAATATTTTAAAAAATAATAATTTATATTAAAAACAAAGAAAAATATTAATATTGAAAAATTTTTGATGGGCCAACCTTAGTTAAAACTAATCGGCCCATTTAGACAGGCCGGCCCGGCCCAGACCAGCTTTGACTGAACTGCATCACTACAACAGAACTAACGCATGTGATTGAATTGACAATAGACAATAGACAATATACCAAAATTATGGTCCATCAACCCAACCCAAAACCAAAGCTTTAAAAACCTAAACCCTAACCTGCTTCTAGTTTTCCTCTCCTCACGGACGGCGCACGTCTTCTCACCTCCAACATCTTCGACTTTCGTTGGAGCAACAGGTATGATCTATCCTTGTTACGCATCTGCAAATACGGAAATGCACTCTGTCTCTCGCGGTTGCGTTGGTTAAGTGTTGTATCTGTTTCTATATGTGTTTGATTTGTCAGAAAACGAAGGAAAATAAGAAAACAATGACTTCCTTTTAGTTTCTGTATGTCTCCTTTTGGTTCAAGCACACACCTGTTTGGCTGCTGAGGAAGTTAGGGAAGAGAAGCGGGATTTTATTTTCCATTTGGTTAGTAGGTTCGTGAAGTCAAATGTGCTGAACTAGAAAGGTCTGTTAAGTTCGTACGTTTACGTCGTCTTGGTTTTTTCATGTCATGGAGGAAGAAAGATTTAGGTCTTAACACTTAGATATGCCTTTGTTTCCTTCATGTATTAGGAACTAGATGGACCTCCGTAGCGATGTGTAGTACATCAAATTATTTTATTTAGCTTTATAGGATAATTTTTTATTTTTCGTGTATTTTCTGCACAATCAAACAAGTTTTGAACTGTTGCTACTATCCGCATGATTAAATACCCTCAGTTGTAGTTGGCACAAATAGAATTTTGCCTGTGAGTTCAAAACACCACGGTTCGAAACCATACGTGAATTATGTTTGATATGGATAGAAGGTTAACTGTGTAACTGGTAATGGTTTTCTCATCAACTTGATTGATTTGCTATTGATGAATGCAGTAGATAAGTGAAAATGAGTCGAGGAAGTGCAGGAGCACCCAAGGGGAAGAAGAAGGGTGTCAGTTTTACCATTGATTGTTCAAAGCCAGCAGAAGATAAAATCATGGATGTTGCATCACTTGAGAAGTTTCTTCAGGAGAGGATCAAGGTTGGTGGAAAGGCCGGTGCTCTTGGTGAAGTTATAACTATTACACGTGAAAAGGGCAAGATTATTGTCACTTCTGAGAGCCAGTTCTCGAAGAGGTAAAATTTATAAATTGCTTGGTTATATGGTAGGGTCTAACTTTGCCAAGGTTCCCTTATTTGATTCACATTTTTGTAAGTTGATCTGTGACTGCATTGTTTATGTTTAATTGAGAAAGAAATTCGATTATTATTAATTCCTTCAGATGAAATCAATTTTACTTGGTTTTAAAACTGTAATCAGGGGTTGTAAGTTGCTTGCTGTTCTAGGGGTTATTGGGTTGGGATTCATCATCTCATTTGTATAGTTTGAGTAATAATTGACAAAACCTTTAAATACATAGTACTACAAGCAATTCATGTTGAAACATCACATAGAAGTGTAAATCATAAGTTATGAATGCCATGTAATTTTCTTCATAGCATGCAAAGGCTAGGCATTTATGACAGTTAATGAATTGGGTATTATTTAAAAAAAAGTAAAGAACTGGGTAAAGATTAATATTGTAGCATGAGAATTGAAGCATACAAATCTTACTTGAGTTGATTTTATTTAGAGGTTAAAAATAGAGGTTTAGCCACCTTTCTATTCCTAATTTAGTGGATAACTGTTAAAACGTTTGTAATTAAAATCTTCAAAGGACTAGAGGAACTAATGAGGTATATTTTTGTTCTTTGCTGAACTTGAAATACTGGGGAATGTGTACTGGCCCATTTGTTGAAGATCAGCGTTTACTTATAGATTGTCTGTCATTTCTTTGTTAATTATAGGCTGGCTGCCTTATACATAAGGATAATATACATGGATTGTTTACAGTTCTCATTTCCTGCAACTTCTGCTTGTTCAGGTATCTTAAGTACTTGGCTAAGAAATATTTGAAGAAGCACAATGTGCGAGACTGGCTCCGAGTTGTTGCATCGAACAAGGACCGCGGTGTTTATGAGTTGAGGTACTTCAACATTGATGAGAATGAAGGGGAAGAAGAGGATTGAAAGTTATAACTGTTTTACTCAACAACTTTGTTTTACCTTATTTTGAAATATGGGTTGTTTAGTTTTTAGTTATGTGATTCAAACTTTATATTTATGGAACTATTGTGGTTTTACAATTTTGTTTATTGAATTGAAGATCTTGCACTGATGCTGTTGTTGCAATGCGGGATATAGAAGAGTTGCTCTACTAAATGAAGTAACTTGGATCTCTCCATGCTTTAGCTTTTCAAATTTGGGACTATCTGGTGATTATTGAATCAATCTTAATAGGGTTCTAATATGGTGCCTAAGGAAACACCATACCTCTGGTTAATCTCAGTTAAGATTTCATATTTCAGTAACATTTCAAATTAAATCAGTAAGTTTAGACGGTAATCAATGGTGACATCGCAAGTCATTGTTAGACTATTATTATCTTAAAGTTTAAAGGTATAGACCTATACTGAAATTGTTGAGCTTCCCAAATATCATAGTTTCTCTTCTTTTTAGGCTTGTAGGTTGAAATTGATATGGAAACCAGTAGTTATGAACTACTAATCACAGTTCAAGGAATCTTCTAGTTTTTCATGTCTGTTTCTTTTTAGTTGCAGAATCAAAACAGATATGGCATAACGATATAAACACTTTGTAGGATTTGCTTTTTAATTGATTACTGTTCATATTATTGTTTCCAATACATGGTATATCCATGTATTGATTCCAAATGTGAGAAAAAAAACTTCAGATTTAACTATCTAAAGTTTGGAAACACAACTTAAGATTAGATTAATGTTCTGAAAATAGTAAATACAACTTAAAGAGTATATACATTTATTACCAGAATTAACTCAGGATAAATTCTGAGAAATTTCAAACCCAGGGTTAAAAAATAATACCTATCTCTTTCTCTCTCTTAGAACACAATAAGCAGTGATGGGGTACCAAAAATGGAGAATCAAATCTACATAGGGACTCTCCCTGGTCTCTGCAAAACCAACAATAAAATATGAAGCATGCCATGAAATAACACTGAGTGGCTCCAACACGCAACCCAAACGTGCAATTGCTTACATCTTTCCTCGCTATTTGTATTTGCTATAAGCTATGTCTCTTTCACTCTTTAATTATTTACCCTCATAATTCATTTTCTCACCCCCCCCCCCCCAGTCTTTAATTCCTCCATTTTTTTTACCATATCTATACTCATTTTTTACTTTTTAACTGTAAAAATATGGATGATGAGATGGAAAAGAAAGGAAAGATGATCTGGGTGAAGAGAAGCTGGTGTAGTCTGTTTGGCGGCAGGTACTCTCCTCAAAACTCACCCCCCAACACACAAGTAAACACAGAAGGTATGGGTCATTATTCAATCATTAATTAACTAGTTATTGTTAACATTGAATTACAATTACTTGGAAATTGAACCTGCCAGTGGGTAATTGATAGGGGGTACAAAACTTGTTTCATCCCAGATCTCAGACACACAATTTTGGGTTCTGGGTAGCTATTATTTCTTAGATTTTTATATATTACACCCTGAATATACTATAGTTACAGAGCTCAAGTTTAATATAGTTGTTTGGTCAAAACTCAAAACTGTCAGTAACTCAACTTTAGGGTGATGTAAATCCCTGGTTAAGCCGGCAAAGGATAAGATTCACTGGACAAAATGTCAAACTCAAGGTCAAATCTATAAGTGGAATTGCACTCCACACATCTGTCTGATTAATTATTTTTCTTTTCATGACAATTAATGTGGAAGCTCAGTTTTCTTTGCTGCACGTTCCAATCACATGTTACAGGAGCTCTCCACATGGACTTTGTGTTTTTTGTGTAACTTCTTTACTCAAATTAATTGGACAAGACTAGTATACATAGCCATACAACACACACACACACACACACACACAAACATATATATATATGTATATATTGAATATCTAGGTTATGGAGAGTGATATTTATGGGATGGGTATGAAGTTTCCATTTAATTTAATTACAAAACGATTAAAGTTTTAATAAAATTGAATCAAAAATTATTTTTATAAACTATATGATAGTTACTAAAATTTATATTATTTGAAGGGAATTCAAAAAAAAACGAAGATGGTATATGTATATATATATATATATATGTATGTATGTATAGAGTACATTCATTAATTAGGAAGGCCATGGCCTTTCATTTTCTACACAGCAACATTATGAATCAAATAATTAATTTTGTCATTCTTTAAAGAATGCCCACTTCAAGACTCAATCTATTAATTAACCATTTTCTTTATTTCTCTCTCCTGACACAAATCTTGCAGAGCTTCTTCTCTGTGTGTGTGTGTGTATATATATATATATACGCACCAATACCCTGCTTTAGCTTCTCATATATGTATATGTATATATGCCCGAGAAAATTACTCAACAGAGGAATGCATATATACATGGGTTATGTACGCGTCTGTGTGTGTGTATATATATGTGTGTGTATGATTGTATATAATGTGGATGGGAAGCTCTTGTTGGAGAAGCAGGGCACGTGCAAAGGCTAGATATTGACACCTGCATTGCACGTGCTCCCCTTCTCCAACATGGGTTCCTCACCCTGCAACTCTTCATTCTCCTGTCATACATGCAACAACTCTGCACTTGCGGCATATATATATATATATATACATATATATATGTATATATAAAACCGGTTGTTCGGGTAAGTTACTAGTTCCATTTCTCATATTCTTACTACACTAGTACATAATATATCTATATATTATGTACACGAATTTGCAGGTGAGGGCACATGCATGTTTTTTAGCAGTACCATCTCCATCTGTAAGACCTTGTTCTTTTCCTTCAAGCTAGTTGTACAATCGCAACAAGCTGTATACATATCGAATATATATATATATATATGACTACATATATATATATACACACACACTAAATGTTTTTTAAAAGAATATTAGGGAGAGAGGATTAAGTGGGTAATGTATGGTGTTGCAATGAATTATCCACTTACAACCTCCATTCTACATTTATTCAGTTCTTGCTAGTATCATGTATATACATACATATATATATATAGATATATAATTAGCAGCATAATGTATATGATATTCTGATCATATTCATTAGGAGAACACATACGTACATATTATTAGTGGAAAGAGCCCGTTGCTTTACCAATCTCTGCTGTACGGCCTCGTGCAAATAGTGACTTTTAAGTGCTGCCTCTGCAGTTTCCATGTATATCATACTTACATAAACAAAATATACGTATACGATTATATGTAAATACTCTGATCATATGGTAGAGTGCGAAATTGGATGGTCATAGGGGTTGATTGTCGAGACAGATGGGAATGAAGAATTAGTTGAAGGCTAGTTAAAAAATATCCAGTAGGTGGCGTAATATATATATATATATATATGTGTGTGTGTGTGTGTGTGTATACATATATATACATATATATGGTGTATATGTCAAGTTAATTTGGTATTTTTCTTCTTTCTTTCGCGACAAACCTGGGCGGCTCTGCTATCTGCAAGATTTGTCTTCTTGACTCTTGACAGAGGGAAAGAGAAAAAAAAATGAGTCAGCAGCCATTTGGGTGTTGACCGAAGCAAATTCGAATATTTAGTGAAATTTATTCAAAAACCTAAAACGACGACGTAAAGTTTGTTATAAAAATCGATTTATATTCGAAACTACAATAATTTATTTAAATTTTATTAATTTATTACGAAATTTATGACGTCATAAAATGTAACGTGAAATAATTAATTGGAATAAATTGAATTGAGGGACGACAGGAATAATCAGGTCAGATGAGAAAGAGGGAAAATTCGATGTGAGTGTTTTGCACACGCAAATCACCCATCTCGAGGTCCCGGTACACACTGACATTTAATATTTGAACTACCCAAAATTAATAACATATATTTCTCTATTTTACTTCTTAATATTTGACATTTTATATTTTTTTTTATTATATTCATAATAAATATTAGTATTTAATTAATATATTATTAAACCATATAATAAAAAATTAATTAAGATAATAATAAGATATAATTTTAACATATTTAATGTAACATAAAATTATATCCAAAGAATTTTATTGGGTAGTAAATTATTATTTATTCAATTATGGGTCCCCCATGCTCTTTAAATCATGGGCCGGGTCTTCCTTATGGGCCTGATATTAACATTCGAATGGCCAATTTAAATCGGAAGACTTGAAAATTAGGGTTTAGTATCTATTTAGCCCTAAATTAGTTGGGCCTAGATTCAAGATTTTACTACGCAGGCCAATAGTTTTTTTACCAGTCTGCATAGACAAATAAATTTATGAATCTCGCAAGTTAAATTTTACATATCCGATTCATGGTGGCGATCTCAATCTTACTACAAGAATCGGACTGTGGGTGATCGTCGCTCGAAAGGGAGAAAGAAACTAAGACGACTGGAAGTGAAAGTGTTCAGGTAAACTACGCTAAGCTTGAACTTTTCATTTTTTGCTTCGTTCTTCAAGTATCTTATTTAGTTTATTGATCACGAGTCTCAGTAGGTAGACATATTGGTTAGACTTTCTACCGGATTTTCTCGGTAACCAAAAGGTTTCTTTCTTTGTTTCTTTGGGAAATTCCCAGTTCGGGTTTTTGTTCATGTGTCAATGGGGATTGTGGTGTGTGCGCGTTGATGTGGTTGATTGTTGATTAGATTGGGTCTCGCATCCAAAGTGTTCGACGAAATGCTTAATAGAAAACAAAGCCTTTGCGTTGTTGCTAGTTTGCTGGTCCATAGATGAATAATTATGTGAAAATAGGAAGTAAAAATTGTTTGATTTATATTTCATGGAAGTAGCAGTGTATAAGGTTTCCTTCTGTAAATTTACGATGGAAGGTCTTGAGAATTTGCGTATTGATAACTATTTATCTTTCTATTTAGAAGAGTTTGCTCGTTAAAAATAAGTAATTCTGACACCTTACAGTTCATTGGTATCTTTGCAAGAGCTGCTGCTCCCTGTTGTTCTTATCTCATCTATTTTCCACTTGGACTAATTTTTTGAGTTACCATCTTTTAGCATTTAGCTATATTGGGAATCATATTGGTACCATGTTCCTAACAAACTCAGAATTTACATGTAATTCATTTTCAAATCCACCCATTTGTTAAATGGAAGAAATATGAAATCTATTAGGAGATAATAAAAACTAAGATCATATTTATTTGCATATTTTGAAACGAAAAGTTCCTGTTTGTTTCTCGTATATTGCTCTTGCATAAAATTGTTTTTTCTACTTCATTCTCAATATCTCAACATCCTTTTCATATCATTCAAACTTCTCTATGCTATTACTGGTGCGAGTCATTAATCTGTCTTGCTTACATAGGCTTTTTGAAGATATTTTTTGGGGAATTGTGATAGATTCGTGTTCACAAAGTTCATATTGTTATGGGTAATGGTTCTGGCAGTTTAGGAAAAAGACTGCATTTGAAATCTTAGTGGTGATTTGACTTTTAATCCAAGCTAATCTTTTCTCATATCATTATAAGACCAAAAACTGATTTGGATCTTTATAGATCAATTCTTTGGATGGATGAAGTTTAGATCTGGTTTTGAATTAGCAAAGGAATCTGGTTGGTTGGATTAGGACAGGAACATCACAAGTCTTTCCTTTTACTCACCTTGTAAGGTTGCGAGTTTCTTAACTGAGCTTTAAAGTAATATTCAACTACATGCATGTCCCTATTGACATGTGACTTTCGATGTAGATATGGTTATTCCTCCACCAGTTAGGCCACCAAGGATTTTACACTTTCTCAAACCTTATGTGCTGAAGATGCACTTCACGAATAAGTTTGTGCATGCCCAAGTAATCCATTCACCAACTGCGACAGTAGCGTCTTCAGCAAGTTCTCAGGAGAAAGCCTTGAGGGGCAGCATGGGATCTACACGAGATGTGGCAGCTGCTGCAAAGATCGGAAAGATACTTGGGGAGCGGCTATTGCAAAATGACATTCCTGCTGTTTCTGTTTTCTTGAAGAGGGAGCAGAAGTATCATGGCAAGGTCAAAGCTGTTATTGATTCCTTAAAGGAAGCTGGTGTCAAGTTGCTCTAAGTATGTAATAACTCACCCCTACCATTTTTATTCCGGGAGGATTGCAAGACAGTTTTCTTTAACATCTTGAGAAAGAGATAAGAGTGGTAGTGTGTCGTCTACGTAATAACTCGTCCCTACCATTTTTATTCTGGGAATATTGCGAGACAGTTTTCTTTTACATCTCGAGACAGAGATACACAGTGGTAGTGCTTCATCTATTCCCTAGCGAAAGACCTTACCAAAATCTGCAAGAGCTTGTATGGATTTTACGAGCTCCAATGACTACAAAGAAAATATTAAGTCCATGTTTACATCAATCTAGTTACTTAGCAACTATTTTGTTTTAAATTCAACCATTTTATTATCGAATTCGAAAAGGAGACAAGTAAATTGCCAACCTACGTTATCTTGTTGGAACTCGTCTTGGAGGTAAGAGATAATTCCCGCACGGGTGTATCAAATATCCCCCTCAAAGGGGGATAATTCCCACCATTTTGTGGGGAGTAGCATCGAGGATAATCTTGGCAACACAAGCAACCCTCCTATTCCCTTTGCTCATAGCTTTACTTAATATGGTTTGTCAACATGAACATTGACTATTCCTATGTTCATGTTGGTAAAAAATTTAATGGTAAATTATGTAAAGAGTGATTGAATCTAATATAGTTTTTAAGTATATATTTGAAATAAATTCATAAATTTAATAGAATTAGTTTGTAAATTTACACTTTACTTAATTACAAAATTAAGAAATCTAACACATTATTTTATTTCTTTAAGTAAATGGGTTAGAAATGAGGAAACCTAACATGATTCTTATTGGAGAGTTGGTTTTGATTTTATATATATATATATATATATATGTGTGTGTGTGTGTGTGTGTGTGTGTGTGTGTGTGTGTATATATTCCCATTTAT